GGCCGGATCCGGCCCGCGGGCCGTAGTTTGGGGACCCCTGATGTAGATCATGGACTAAAAGTATGATCTAAAAAGAACTATGTGTAGATTTGCATCAGTCAGAAAACTGACTGATTTCCCCCTTAAAACATCCATTTCTCTTTGTGTTCTTTGTCCCCTCTGTCTCTAACAAATCCTCTTTTACCTCCTGTTAAACCTGAACCTGGATGATTACTGTAGACTTGCTTAATTTGTTTTGGTGCTTTGACTCTAAAATAGCTGCTCATTCTCTCTCCTTTTTTCTGCTTTTGTTCCTTGCTTGCAACCGCAAGCAAGGAACAATATATATTTGAAGCAAACTGACCTCTCTGGATAGCAGTCGAGCTTCACTGTATTTGGAATTTATTTTTTAAATTCTCTCTGCTGCCTGTGATGACTTCTCCTGCCTGTCTTCCTCTTAGGTTTCTTCTCCTTACTTAAGTCTGAGTTATGATTCCTAAGTACAACCACATAACTGAATGTGACCCCGTGTATTTCTCATGTTTCATCATTTTGCTCACTATGAAGCTGAACTGACTGTTTTTATCCCTGTTTTCCCAGATATCTTCAGTGATCTGTGTACAGCAGCATTCTCTGAGTCTGAAGAAAACAGTGTCAGACCTTGGGAAGATGTGTCTCAGGACTGCAAGTAAATACCAGTGGACTGTTGTAATCCATTTGACTTTGATCTCAGACATTGATCAGCTTAATAACTGCAGTCTTCAACATGTAATTTAAAAGGATTATAACTACTTGTATTTCTTTTTAATGGACTACAGATATGCCTTGCTCTTAGTGTTGTATTTTTTTTTTCTTTGATTCACTGATGTGAAACTCCTGCAGGAATAAGCTGGAACTTTCTCGAGTGTCACTATTAGAAAGCCTTCTGTATTTGTAAAATCATTTCTACTAGGGATGCGCAATATATCAGCACTAACATCAGTATCGATCGATTAGTAACTTTTTTAATACATCGATTTGATAAATCAAACTGGACCAATATTAACAACTGATATTTTTTTGTATCTTGTTGCCATTTGTTTTTGGACGGGAGAGAAGGAGGTTGGTCGTGTGGTATTTGTTTGGTCAAACCTCAAACAGAGAAGCACTGGGAAAGTCAAACATATATAATATTGGTTATTAGCCATAACAGCAATATTAGTATAGCTATTGATATTGGCCCAAATGATCATATTGTTGCATCCCTAATTTTTACTCCCACTGAGTGGAACAGCTATATACAGTACACACATCTCATAACTTCAGATTTACAGTCTCTTCAGAAACTATTCAGAGCCATTCACATATTGCACTTTTTAAAATTATTTTCAATTCAGTTAAAAATGCTGCTGGTAAAATGCGCTAAATATGTGAAAAGATTAAATTGGTAAATGCTTGATATTCTTTATTGTATTCTGAGCCTCAGAGTATTTAGTGTTTTAGTTTATCAAAACGTTTTGCCACACTGGTCAAAATTATGAAGTGAAAAGGAATTTTGGATCCTGTTAAGGAAGAATATCTAAATTAGTTAACTTTGGAAAAAGTTTGGCTCTCTCACTCTTCCTCTTAGATCCCAGGTCCTCCTGGTGAGCCACGTGTGGCCACAAGGAAAACAACAATGCGTGTTGACGTCACAGAATTACAGAGTTTAATCCAATATAAGACAATGCATAAACTTACACCAGAAACTGCAGAACAACAGAGACATACATTCATTACCTGAGACAAAAAAGATAGAAAAAGAAAGGCAAAGACATGTCTTTGGAGAGAGCTGGTGCAAAAAGGCAAAAAGCTGAATTATTACTCCTGGGCACGAACTTTTATAATGTAGGTGTGTTTTTCCTCTTTAATATATTCAAATAAGGCGTACCTCTGCTTGACCAACTGGAAGCTATCTTGGACACTCAGAAAAACTTAGAACTCCCCCTAATTTACGGCAAAGATCAAAGGCCATTTGCTCTTTTGTTTAACAAAAAGAGCGGAGAGCTTGTCCTGGCCTCCTGCAGTTCTAAGGCCATCTGGGCAAAGAAAAACATAAGAAAAGTATTTCACAGATAGCTGTGAAATCTGGAGTCTCTCCCGCTATCTCTCCTTACATAGATTCTCAGGAACAAACTTAAATTCAGTAATTTGGTTCAGGGAAAGGTTATCTTCACAAACCCAGTTTTGCTCTTCTGCACTCAGCACCCCAAAAGATTGAGTCCTGCCTTAAACCAAAAATAACACATAAAATCAACAGAACAAAATGAGGTACAATTCCTTTTTCTAACCTATGAAACATAATATTCAATCCTAAGTATACAAGTTAACACAATCATTTTCCAAAACCCCATTTAGCATAAATCCTGAGCAATTTTCTAATACTAAACAAAACATTTTCATTCAAACAATTTCCATTTGATTCTGATATTGTCACAGATAGTACAATTTTCAAATACATTCATCATTTACTAGATTAGTAATTCTAAAATTAGATAATACAATTTTCATTAAAAAACATGCTATTAGTAACTAAGAAAAATGTCTTAGAAATTAAATGTTAGTGGTTTTAACATTCTATGTTGTATTCAGTTTTACACCATCCCAGATGTTAGTTCTGGAAGACTTTTGATCTTCCGTGAACCGAGCAAACTTCTCTCTCCCAGGCTCAAGTGATACTGCCCTCCTGGAGATGCTAATTTTATGGCCTCCTGTCCTCTCTGATAACACAACAGGAGCCTCAGTGAGAGTTCCCTTTTGATCTGTATTTTCCTTCTTGTACTTTGAATACTTACCCATCAATAGTTTAGTTTTTAAATCATTAACACAAACCTGTTCAAAATTAAGAAATTTGTTCAAAATGGCAATGCTCAATATACCTTTTACACATGCCGTAAGATTAACTGTGTTAAACACTAAAAATAATCATTTTTTTCTCAACAATCCCCAAAAATTAAAAAAATCCAGAACAACAAAAAACCCCCACAAAATGTCTCCTTTGTGGCTGCATTGTCTCATTATACAGTACACATGTGAAAACAAAACTCTTAATATCATGATTTCAGTTTCTCTGTGACTTGTTAGGTGAATATTATTGTGATTACATTCAGTTTGAAACAACTTGAGATCTGAATATTTCCTGAGGAGACTGTTCTGACTTGCCTTTTTTCACATCTGTAAGAAATTAATAGCTGCAGAATTACTGCAAAATCCCTACATTACTGTAATAGCTCTTAATATAAAATATCTTTACTTTGTTTTACATAAGTGGAAATCCTGAAAAAACATGTTGGTGATACAAAATTACAACTAATGACTTTTATGTCACTCAGGAGCATAATGGCAATTTTTGCGCAGTAGTTTGTTGGGGCTTGTTTACTGTGTTTTAGTTGACTAAAACTGTATGCTATGTTTTTTGTTTGAGCAGACAGCTTCATGAAGGTGGGTTCTGCTCCAGCCAGAGTTAACTCTTATGAGCCTAAAATTGGAACAAGGCCATGATGTTAATAGCACAGTATGCAGAGTCACATGCAGCCGTGACTAAATGACCATCTTGGGCTTGGACTGATTGGTGCAACATGAACACATTTCCTCTATCAGGGGTTTTTGCATCTTGGAAAGTCTAATTCACAACAAATTCCTTTTATCAGTTAATGATAGTTAAATCACTTCCTGGCAGAAAAAACAATCAGATCTGATGTGTTTTCCATTTTCTTCTTTGTACATCATCATGGAAAGTATGAGGAAGAAACCAGATGGCTTTTGAAGGAGATGATCATTTCTGTGTTCAGAAACCGATTTGTCTCTGCGACATGTTATGCTTCATGGCCCAGAGAAAAACTCACACTCATTTCTACATAATGAGATTCTGTTAAGAACATTTCATACTTTGAGTTGCTGTTTTCGACCTTGCACCTGCAGACAGGACACACTCAAATATTGTTTCTAATATTTGTTCTTGGGCTGCACAGTGACAGGAAAATGAATGCTAAGTGGTTATATTCAGAAACCTGTTTGACACAGTTTCTTATGTCTAATTAACTTGTTCTGATACATTTCTGTTTGTTACATTTCACAGTCAGGGTCAGCAGCAGAAGGACTTGTTTATTCAGCTCACTATCACATACTGTTTAAATTTACATCACAATATTTTTAAGACCAAGAGTGAAAGCTAAAAATGTCGCTACAGTAGTTGCATTCCAGACGTTAGTGCTGGTCCTCAATCTGTAACCTATTATCCTAACTATAATCTAAAGTACACTGAATAAAAAGTTCAGACTATTAAGCAATATGCTCTAAACACTGTTGGAGAACTACTCTTCAGTAAACAGCAAATAAAATATTTGCCTTCAACTAACATTGAATCTTTTTTATCTTTTACTGCTGTGTCTTGTTCCCCTCTGTAGAACATGCATCTTTGAACATTTGTATTTGATGACATTACTTTGAGAACACTGACATATAGCTTCCCTGTTTCACTCCCAGAAGGATTATATCTTTTTTAAATTACCCTGGCTACAAGCTGTAATGTGTTTGAAATTAAAGAATACACCAGAGTTTATCACAGGTTGTCAGATAACTGGACACGTACCAGAGGGAAAGATATTACTGTATTACAGTGTAACATACAGTGAGCCCCTTAATGAGTATATTAATGAATGATTTGTTTACAAGAAATGATCCATGAGTGTAATTTGTATTTTGTTTGACCAGAATTAACTGGAAAATGCTGTATCTTTCTTTAGGAAATAATTCTATTATACTGCATCATGGACAATGCTAGAATCTTTTCAACTCTAGAATGTATCATGTTTGTATACATCTGTTATTATGTTGTACATATTGCTCATTATGATAAAATACCTTTACAACATGAAAATTCTTGCCTTGTTTCTTTTGGACTTCTCTTTTTTCCTCTATTCTATAAAATGGCTGATAGGTGAAAATGAGACGCAAAATCCAAAACAAAAAGAAAAGAACTGCAATCACAGAATACAGGTGCAAAAACCTAGAATCAACAAAACAAATGCAAACAAAAATTGCTGCAACCACTGGAAATGGAAGCAAAATGAAAATGCTGCAAATAGCAAGTATGAAACGCTGAAAGATTTTTTCATAAAATGGAACTTCTAGACCACTAGAGGGAGTGTAGAGCAGCTGTTTTGCTGCATTTTCCATTTTGCTTCCATTTCCTGTGGCTGCAGTATTTTTCTGTGTGAATTTGAACTGCATTCTTTCTCTACATCTCCAGGTACCCTGTAACATCATCAACACTAGTTTTACATGATAGAATAACCATAGATTGCCCAATATCCACACATTCTTGAAAACCTCTTCATTTTTCTGAGATCTGTGGTACATGCTAGTCTGCAACCTCTACTTTCTATTTATTAAACCTAGGCAAAATATTAAATGTTTGCTCAGAGTACAATCTAGTAATTATATTGGCAGCTGTCTCTGTATGTGTTTTTATTTTTACATGTAAGTTTGATCTTAAAGGGGCAGTATTATGCATTTTCCAGGCACATCATTCTATTTTATAGCACAATAAAGTAATGATGTTACCTTCAGTTGGTATAGAAATATTGTATTGACTTTAAAAAAAATTGACTTCCCAATTAGAAGCCTTGATGACGTAGCATCGACGTTACCCAATGTACATGGAGGGCCAGAAGTAAATTCAGCCCATTTATTTCTGTTGGTCCAGCATCAAAATGTCTAAAGTCTGAGTCCTTTACAGTTGCTCCAACCATTCAAAGAGAGAGAAAGATAAACGTTATATTTGTTTCGAAGGTAATTGGTCACAAGGGAGTTAATTAAAAAAAAACTTGCTGAAAAAAAGAGGAGAAAAGTGGATCAACAATAATAACAGGAGGTGCGGAAACTAAGAGTGACAGAGTTTGCAGCACCATTTTCTAACAGGAAACAATCGCATCATTTAAATTGTATTTTCAGATATTTTATTGGACAGTTACTTAGAAAGACAAGCATTCATATGTAAGGTAAGACATATTATATTATTTTTATGCCCTAGCGTGGTTGTCCCCAGAGCGTTAATGTTGCTAGCAGCTAGCTCAGTGCCAAGTCATGGACAGAAAATATGTTTATTCAGTGGGACTTTACTGCTAAAAAATTTAAAAAGCTAAATAAATTAAATATATTGAATTGTTAATGCATGTCACCATGAGAAAAGCCTACTGAGTTTTGCTTAAAAAACCTTTTTTTTTATTAAAATCACACATTTTTATCTCATGAAGTGAAAAAATTATTTGCAAAACAAACTTATTTGTGCATGTCAGAAATCTTTTCTTGCTATTCTAAGTTTTTGTTTGTGATCAAAGTTTTGCTTGTGATTCTCACATCACGTCATGAGCAGGGCCCAAAATCGCAACAAAAGATTACTGGTGTGTGCAAATAAAAGTTTATGTTTGGCAAATAACTTTTTAAGTTCACGAGACAAAAAATAGTTATTTAATTAAAAAAACAAAACAGTTTTTTAAACAAAACTTTTTGTTTTAAAAAAAGGAATCATTACAATTCCAAAAGTTTTGATTACAATTTTATTGTATTTAACTGCATACTCTGTGAACCAGACCCTAAACTTACTTAAAGTCTGGATTGAGATTTTTCCTCTTCATTAATGATACACTTTTATTACATACATTGTATCTATCATGGTAATTCAGGGTGAGTTATTTTTAATTCTACATGAATATCCTTGTTGGACTTTATTTAAGTGCTATTCTCCTTCAAGATACATTTACCTAACGCTAGAATAAATGCAATGTACATTATGCAGCAAAGCAAATTAGAGACATATATCCACTATTGAGATGATAAGTTTTGGATGGGCGATGTGCCCCCTATTGCATGAGCGATACTGAAGAATGACTGCTATCATTAACGATACAGGGAAGAAGCTTTTCAGTTATCTAGCTTTGCTAGCAAAGTCGTAGCTAGTAGTTAGCTAATAGCATAACAACAACAGCCTAATGTCTGTATGATAAAAATACTGAATCGATAGATAAGAACAGTTTTTCCTCACCTGGCTGTCTCCTCCTGCTCAGTAATTCTTCAGAGAAAGGCAGACGCAGAGGCCTGTCAGTGTCTGTTGTATTTCATTACCTCTCTGCTTAAACCGCTGAAGCAGAAACGATACTTCAACGTTTTCAGTCATCTGACAAGTAGCAAGTCTGCTCCACTTTATTCACCAAAAACGGTTTTGTTTTTTTTTTAATTCACCAAAAACTGTTCCGTAATCTGGAACGTTCGCTACGTTGAGCTCCAGTTAGCTGCCTTATCTCACTGCGCGAGAGGCAACTGCGTCATGCGTCATGGGCAAAAGGTCAAAGGTAACAAG